GAAGGAAGGAAGGAAGGAAGGAAGGAAGGAAGAAATGCATAATGCAAAACCACATTCATTAATAATTATATCATTTGAATCCTTACAACTTTTAATGAAAGCTTTCCAATTCTAAATGCCTTCATTATGATTAAGTTAGCCATCTAGCGTTCTATTTTGTCTATATGGTGACATAAAGTTTGCTTTTGTAATTAGCTTTGTAATCTCCCTAGATGAGTTTTTAGTTCTTGAAGGGAACAACAATAAACTTTAAAATGGTGAAAGAATTCTTTTAGTATTTAAAGACTAATGAATTTAATAAAAAACGGCCGTCAAAGAAACGTATTACTTACAATTTTGTTCACCTTTTATTCCCTTTTCCTTTTCCTTACATCCCTTCCCTTTCCTTCTTTTCTCTCTTATTTATCTCTATTTTTTGCTTCTTTTTTTTTTTTTTGTTCTTTCTTTCTTTTCCTTTAATCCCCCCATCTTCCCTCTCTTTGTTACATACATTTTTGTTCCCTTTTTTTCTCTTAATTAATCCCCCTTTCCCTCTTTTCCACAAGTTGTAATCACACCCATATAATTAGTATATGTAATAGGACTCCATACTGTCCAATTAAGAAAAAATTGGACGAGGAAAATTCCGAGGATTGACAAAATTGGATGAGGCCGTAGCCCCGAGTCCAATTTGGCAGTCAGAGGAATTTTTCGAGTCTAATTATTTCTTGATTGGGGAGCATGAAATCCCATTACCTATTAATTATATAGCTGCCTAATTAATCCCATATCAACAGACCTGTCCAATTAAGAAAATAATTAGACAGTTACCCATATTATGGGATTAATGAGAAGCTGTATAATTAAGCTATTAATCCAAACTGCATATATGTTATAGCTGTAATACCTTACTGTCATGACTGCTTTGACCACCTCCCTATGTCCTCGATACATTTACATATACAAGCTACAGTAGCTCCATTTAGATGTAACTTTCTTTTCATTTTCTGAAAAAAAGTAAAATAAATCTATGAGAGATGAAGGGTAATTTATGAATAAATTAATTGAAAAATAAATAAACAAACGAATCAAAATATAAAGAGAAAGAAAGAGAAAGAAAGAAAGACAGAGAGAGAGAGAGAGAGAGTGAATACTTCATTTAACCTCGGAAAACAGTTTCATCAATTTACAAATTGTTTTTCATGAAAGCCGAATAAAAATATAATACTAATACTTTAAAATCGTATAAACAATAGAAATATATAATAAGATCTAAGTATACCTTCTAATGAACTAAATGCCAAATAAAAATGGTTTGGTTCCAACAGACGGAAGATTCCTTTTAAAAGTGCATAAACTATTGGATTGTCTGATATTGGAAGGTAGGGAGGGAGAGAGAGAAAAAAAGAGAGAAGCAAACAAACAAAGTGAAAAAGAGAAGAGAGAGATTGAGAGAAAGGGAGAAAGAAATAAATAAAGACAAAAAAAAGATAAATAGGAAAAGAAAATATGTACCAGCAAGAGAAGTTTCCCTCTCTTATAGATGCCCTCTTGGACCAGTCACTAATTTGGAGGTCAAAGCAGATTTTTTTATGTTAACTATTATAGCTTAGGGGCTTAATGAGTCGTGGGGATTCTGAATAACAGGTGTTCCATGGTCCTTGGACTGAAAGAAGCAATGCAAATTCTGAAAAATTGACAAATGATATCTAAAGTTTGCAATCAAACAAAACTCTCACAGGAGTGAGGGTGGAATCCACCCCCCTATCTATATCAGATGAAGCCTAAATTGGTGGGAAACTGTGCCTTATACTTTATAGTACTTTATGTTACATAGGGTTGAGGGATTCTATTAAAGACAAGATAAAGACACATTTTGGTGTCTTGTTCGCCAAATTGAAAAAAAGGCATAGATTCAATTTCACATTTAATACATTTATTACTATTTATTTACTTCTGTAGACTTACATGCTTTTGCTTCCTATCTCATAATTCCATTAGGTCATATATTTTACATGGTCATGAAAAGATAAAGAGTTTATCATTGAGCATTGAGGTGATATCTAATGAGTCTGTCCATCAAAAGAGTAAGATATTTTCAACACGAGAAGATAAAATTCGTATCTCCAAGCGGCCATGTCATATTCAGTTAAAAGTAGATATTTCATCGATGATTATATATTTAATAATAACAGGAGTTTCTTATATAGTGCATTTCAAATATCTCAATGTCACTCACACATCATTCACTCACTCACTCATTTGTTCACTCACTCACACATCCATCTATCCAGTACTAATCATGCATTTAGATTCTTGGAAAAAAATTACATGTTATTTTTCATGTGCCTTTTGATATCTCTAATACATAGCTTCCCCCTCTCAATCAACTCAGTCAACTTGCTTACAACTTCCTCATTACAGGCAGAACAAGGCTTTTTTAATAAATCATCAAGCCCCTCCATAATAAACACCAACCTCATTAGGTCATTTTGGAGTGTACCATCATGGTCTTTACTCCCCTTTACAAGAAATATTGCTAAACCTTCCAGAACAATATGAGCTTGGAACTTGAAATTAAAAGCATCTTTAACATGCATCAAAGTATTCTGCTTGATCATTCCTTCTAGAATGGAGGTGATTCGAGAACTGTGCGTATTTCTTAATGCTCTGGTTTTAAGATAGCAGTATGCATTGATTCCTTGTTCCATTGACTTCAATTTTCGCTGCACACCAATTGCATTGGTCGATTTTCTGGCATAGTTGTTTGACAGAGCAATATCAATAAGAGTTTGCATCTTGGTTTTAGGGACTGTAGGGAGCTTGACTTCACTCTTGGCAATTACTCTGTTCCTACAATCATAGTAATTATGGCCACTTAAAGTAGTAAGGCACTGCCAACAGAAGTGAATTCTACAAAATATACAATACATGTGGTCACATCCATGAAACTTTTCAATAGGATAGCTACAAGTTGGGCACTTCTTCACCATCACACTGGTGATGTCCTTTCCTTTTGGCCTGTCTCTCTTGAAATTTCTGGCATACTCCTTGTACTCATCTCGAAATGTCTGGGCTTTTTCACACTGTGACGGCCAGTGGGAAGGCTCTAGGCACTGGAAGCACCATGACTGGTTACAAGAACAGACTACTGGTAAAGAAGTTGTAGTGGATTTTGTTGTTGTTGTTTTCAGTTCTTTGCATGGTGTTATCTGCATTACAAGAGGGCATCCTTTGGATGGACAATGTTTTAAAGTTGGATTCTTTGTAATGTGTCTCTTTATCTTCCAGGAAAAGTACTTGCCATACCAAGATGTTGCCAAACTCATGATGGTGATGCCATCTAAAGGGGTCTGGCATTGGTGTCCAGGGCACAACAGATCAATTTCTCCCATGTTAAGCATAGCTTTGATGTACACTTCCCAGCAGGAATTACAGAATGAGTGTCCACATGATAGTAGAGTGGTGTGATTCAGGCTACCTGGAAAAAAAGGAATATTAAATATTACTTTACATTAAACAATTCTTTGTTCCATCATAAATATAAATAAATATCAGGATATTTTTTGGCAGAAATTGCAATGAAAATCAGCATTTTAAATAAAAAGAAGAGATAACTAGCTACAAACTAGTGTGAGCTGCGTCTGTGTTTCTAATGAAACAGCAATGATAAAAAGGTAAAATATACACCATGAAAAGATGAAAAAATTTACTGACATTTCGGACGCTAGTCCTTCGTCAGAGTCTCATCTTGAATAAAATGAGGTATATTTATAAACATCCTAATTAATACTTTTAAAGTTCCCCACTATTTCCAAAAATTTCCACACTTTTTCCCCCACACTATATCACATGCTCTGATATTATTATTATTGTTATTATAATACACTCAACAGAATTACTCGATTCTGATTGGACAAGAGGAGTATAACTAAATCCCAAATTGTACTCTGTAGAGTCCCAATTAAATATCTTAATTTTGGCGAGTGTATTATTAAAAAATGCACAATCTTGAGTACAATTGGGAATATAAATACAAGTGATGTTTTGAAAGTTCTCAAATTGGACTCAACTAAAAGGCTCATCCAATTTTTAAAACTTTCAAAACATCAGTCATATCTATAAATTCCAAATTGTGATCACGTGATTTCCTATACTTCTTATTATTATTATTATTTATAAGTTTTATAATAAAGATTTTTAATACCTTCATTGTTGAAATCTTCAAAGCATATCCCACATGCAGCTTCCGACGTACATGAACTGGACACACCCAAGCCTTCAGCGTCATTTTCACTCTTCTTCACTACTTCCTTTCTGGCCTCAATAAATACCTCTCTTTCAGTACAACTCCTTCCTTTATATCCAAGAACTTCTGCAAACACATCTGATGTATACAACGGTTTCTTCTCACTGGTTTTTGAAGGCTTCTGGTCTTGCAGTATTTCATATTTTTCAATAGATTTCACCCCATCATTGATAATTTTATTAACACTGCAAACGTCAGAACCATTGTTGCTTAACGAGTCAATAAATTCTCTCTTAATCAATTCAGTTGTTTCGAAAGACAAGTTAAGCTCTGAAAGTCCTTCATGAAGTAAAAGTTTTACCGAAGCCTTGCAAATATCACTTGTCTTGACTTCAGGTTTCTTGAGCTCAAATAATATCTCCATAACAGCCAAATCAATGTCAGACTCTTTAGAATAACTTTTCATAAGTCCTGTTAAATCAATTGCAAACTTTCGAGGATCGCATCCTCCTTCTCTATAGCTTTCCCCCCAGGACTTTTGCAGCTCTGATGCTAAAATTTCTGTTCCTTGTAAATGAACTCCACAAGATGGATAATTTTCTGATATACAATCTGCATGTAAGGACTGTTTGTTGGCATTTTTACTTTCCATTGTAGGATCTTCATTCATCATATCTTTTTTACATTCCTCATCTTGCAGTGCGGCAAACTGTCTCAGGCTTCTATTCCTTTTGGTTTTTAACTTCTTTCTACTCGTATTCTTCAAATCCTCTTCTTTCGACTTCAAGGAACTAAGCATTAAGGAATCCATCACTCTTGCATTTGCTACCAATCTCTGATGTTCTGTAACACGTTCTTTGTCGTCAATGGTTATGACTTTGTCCTTGAAGCTACACTTGTTTTGGCCTCTAACAGCATTATTGAAGGATTGTCTCTGAATACGAGAGGGTGGTTTGGCTTGATTCCTCACATATTCACCAAGAGAAATGAAGAGTGAGTGACCTTTGCTTTCTTCAAAGTGCATGTTATCATGAGCATTGTCATCACTATCATCATCATCACCAGCATCAAAATCTTCACCATCATCATCATAATCTTCGTCTCCTTCATTAAAATAATCATCTACCATTGCACTCCACAGACTCTCGCTCCACTTTCCTCTTCTGTTCTTAGAGCTACCTTTTCTTGTTCCACGACATTTTTCACTGTACTTTACTTCCGAGTTCAGTGGCCAAGAACCTTTGGCAATTGGATACAGCACTTCAAATTCCAACTCAGCTTGGCTTGATTCATCCCTGAGGCTTTGAGCTTCACCATATCTTCGTCTCGGCTTTCTAATCTTTCCATTCGAGCTGTCGTAAACAGAAATACAGCGACCTCTTCGGCCAATCTGAGTACTTCTTTGCTCAACGAGAAGAAAATCACTTTCTTCTCCAACAACTTCTTGAGGATTTGCAGACGTTTTGATCATTTCAGGCATAAGCCATCGATTCTGCTTACCAAGGGAATAACTTATCGTATCAATAAGGCTTGCTGAAGGAATTTCTTCTGAATTTTCACTAGTTTGTCGAACTTTTTTAACCAAAACCCCTTCACGTCTAGAAGATCTTGCAAACGGAGAGCGAAGAGTTCTACCAGTATGGTGGCCGTGTTTGCCATTTTTCCCCGCCATAATACCGTTAATTCTCAACCTTTATCTCTTAGTTCTATTGTACTAACCTTTCTTAGTAGAAAACAGCTTGTATTTCGGAGTATAACATCTTCTATTTTATATCCTTCCCGCGCCATTATCAACCTGTGGTGCAATGTTGTGGTGCAAGAACTGATAGATATAAAAGCGATTTTCATTGGTTGGTTATTTTGGGGACCAATCACATTAATCCTTTGAAACGTCCACAAATAGATATCCCTGAATAGATATGACATTGAAATAATCCACAGGGAACCCAAGTAGATTGGAAAATCTTGACCTGGAATTACTTTTTGGACTGGACGACGGATGACTTTGGATGATTCTTTCTTCCTTCCTTCCTTCCTTCCTTCCTTCCT